GACCTGAACTTCAAAATGTTTTGTTTTGCATGGGTTAGCTATTGGGCACTGAACCCAGGAGTGGCCTTGAACTTGGGTTCTCCTGCCTTAGCCTCCTGAGAAGCTGGGACTGCAGGTGCATATTACCATGTGCAGATGCTTTTGGTGTATAATTTTTTTTTTTTTTTTTAAGGTAAGAGCTTTACAAATACAGTTGTAAAAGCTCAGCTTTGGCTTGAAACAAATGAGATTAACATTCCTTCAAAGTATTTCTGTTTACAGATAACATCAGTTGGACTCATATGTATATAATTTAGATCAGCCTTAACATAAACTATAGTATATTTAACATTTAAATATAACCACTAAAAAAGTTTGGCTTCTGTATTACCTTTGAAACTATTAAAATCAATGACAAAATTTTTACCACTATACATTTTCTACTGAATCTATATAATATGCAAGCATGTTCTGTTTATTTCCAAATTCCCATATTATAGTGGAGGACAAATAAGTTTGACTAAATCTGTACCTAGGCCTCTTCAAGCCTTCTGTACTAGTTTAGACTATTTCTACGGTTCTTTCTCATTCTAATATTTTGAGATAATGTTTTTATTTTTAAGTGGGTGAAGACTATCTTCAAATCCTTCAGCTCTCTTTCTATGTTCTCAACAACTCTGGTCTCCATCATGGTTGGCATAGTTCTCTAAGACTGCTGAATGTTAATGTTTCTCCTTACTGACAATATAAATGGGTTAGAATAGGAGCTCTTGCAGTGTATGCATACTTTACCTGGGATATTCCTACCACACACCAAGTGACTGTATCTGTAACTGCAGAATTGCATGCTAGTCAGGAGAAGGCTCTGGGAATTGGCAAAGCTGTCCCTTAATTCATGGGTATAAATCATCTTATTTTATATAAGGATAAAATTGCTCCTCCTTTCACAAATAATCTTTTCAGTTATTTTACAAAGTTGAAAAAAGATGTGAGAAAACCTAGTTGTAGATATTTAATTTCCTGAAAGGAAAATGTAGGAAAGCAAAATTTTCAGCTATTGAAAGATATATTTTTCACCTATATGAATAACTATACTAGACAAACATTTGAATGATATAAAGTAGAAGATAAAAAAATAGAGGGAAATGATTAGGAATTTAGAAAATATTATAAACATTATTTTAAAAAGAGCTTATTTTCTTTGGCAAAGGAAAAGGCACTATAGGTATTGCTATAGTGTATATAACTAGCTTTGTGGCAAGGGAGAAATTAAATCATTTTAAAGATATACTAACATTATATAATTATTAATATTAACTAATATTAAATATTTAGTGACTTCTTAAAGAGACTGGCAAAGTCACATGATTCCTAGATTTAACTTTGGTAGAATTAAGAGATGCCGGACAAAGATACATTAAAATATTATAGGATTTCAATAGGTTTTAATTTGTTAAGTTTTAAGATGCTGAAATCTAGTAATTTTAGGAAAAGTCCAATAAAATCCAAATGAACTATATTTTATAAATTAAGCCATTATCAAAGGAAAGAATCTTTGTAACACATTCCTCCCTCAAAGTATAATACTGCTTTTCAAAAATTGAAAGGATTCAGTATTATCTGCTTTTGTGGCTGCATTTGTATAAAGGTGCCCACAGGCTGATTTGTTCAGTGGGTGGAAACAGGCCCTCTTCCCATGGTCCTCAGGGTAAAAGCTGTGATGTACAGGAATGTGTGGAGCACCCGAATGAATGCACCTGAACGAACGCCTTGGGGAAGGAAATATACGTCTCTTTAAGTCATTAGTAAGTCATTCATCTCAGCCTTGTTCATGCTTCACAGCCTGTACAGACACTAAATGCACCCCTGGAAAGTAGCACGAAGTTGAGAAGCATGTGGTTGGCTCCAGCTGCCACTTATATGACCTAGGATAAGCTGCTTACCTGCTTCAGGCTTGTTCTCTTCATCAATAATCAGAGATGTTAACAGAATCTACATCATAGGACTAGCATGGTGCACTTCTCTGATGTAAGAGCTCAGTGACAGTTATGAGAAGTTAATTCACTTAATTTATGTATTCTACATGTCTCTTATTCTAAAGCAACAGGCACTGCAAACATCATTGCTACTGTGTACATCTGTATCTTTCATGAAGAGTCCCAAGCCAACAGCATAGATCTCCAATTGTAGATTTTCAGGAGGTAGGGAGTACTGATTGGTATTAGGGGAAAAAGGGCATGTTAGTAACTCCATAATTATACTGCAGAAATTTCTGATCATCCCACAACTTCTTCATTAACTTGACTCCATATCCTACTTTGCTATCTCTTTGCTGATAATCTCAGGCTTGTTCACATGTGAGGATCTCTGACCTTATTTTTTCTTTAGTTTAAAATGTTCTTCCCTCTATCATTTATAGCCAGCCTTTTCACATTGCTTGGCTCCATGAAAATACTACCTTTTGTCAAGGCTTTGAACATTCTATCAAAATTTTAACATTCTATAATTTCTTTTTTTAAAAACTGTTTTAATTTTTTATTTTAAACTATTCATTATAAAAGATATGGAAAAGGGGGAGAAACATTCCCCCCTTCCCCAGTTTATATTCCATGAAGCCAGGGACCAATTTTCTCTTTTGGTTGTATTTTTTAGTTGTTGTTTTTGATAAATCTTTTTTATTGAGGGTATAATGTGCGAATAAAGGCCAGGCTGCTTTTCCTCAGTTTTGTATCCTCAGTGACTAAAACAAGGTAGAAGCTCAGTAACAATTTATCAAATATAGAAATACCCCTGTGGGAGTGTTTATAAAACTCTCTTTAGTCAGGGGCACTTTACCACCTATATTCCTCTAAACAGCCCAAATTTAACAGCTATCTGTGTTATTGCGGCCTAAGCCCTATGTTACTTTACCTAAGCTATTTACCAGTTTCTCCCCCTGCAGGGCCAGTAGGATGGAGGCTCTACTAGACATGAAGTTTCCAGTGTCACATGGGGTAGTACTGTTGTGACCCTGGAGAGCTCACGGGGTGGAGCTGTTGGGGGATGGGATCTGACCATGAAGCAGTCTGCATCACTGACTGTGCCCTGCAGGCTCCCACAGGAAAGGTCTCTGTGCTCCTTGCCTCACCTCATATTTCATCTGGTAACACATGGCAATGCGTTCCCGGTGCTGAAAGTCGCTGCCATCGGTGCAGGACTCTTGTGGGCCTGCCTGAGAAGCCATCCTGCCTGTCCAGACTCCGACAGGCTGCTGCAACAATACAGCCAGGTCTCCAACCGTCACTGCGTGAGCTACCTCAGCTCCGTAACTGCACCACTCTTGAAGAGGACTTCATCCTATATTTTCTTTCTGGTTTTATTTTTACCTAAAGTAGGACTTATTTCTACTTAAGATTATTTTATAGATAATTTCATCACTCTAATTAAAATGCAATTCCCATGAGTGTTATGAATTTGTCATTTGGTTCACTAACAGGTCTCCCAAATCCAGACCACCGATTGGGTCACAGTAAGACAATCAGTGAGTCAATAGGCTTACATATTGCCAACCACCTCCTGGTGTCACAATGCTGAGGGGTATGGGAAGAGATTGGGGGGCTCTGGTACCTGCCATCCTGCTCTTTTTCTTCTGTAATTATTTTCTGAGTTTTTCTCTGTGTCAAGCCTGGGGCAGGGAACACAAAGATAAAAAGGACAGGAGTACTACCCCTGTGGCTGTTCATATCCAGAGATTATGACCTTGCTGATTTTTTTTTTTTGTTTCTGTCATTCATCTGGCTCCTCTTATATACTGTATTCACTAATTATTTCTTTATATATAAAATATGTTAATGTTTTACATTCTTCATACTAAAGCAACTTAGCAAATAGGAACCATATTTTTTATTTCCTTAAAAATTTATCCACAGGGGCCGGGGAGATGGCTCAGTGGAATAAGCGCTTCCCTGGCAAGCGCAAGGGTCTGAGTTCAATCCCTGGTTCCGCAAAAAAAAAAAAAAAAAAAAAAAATTTATCCACAGCAGGGCAAATAGCTCAGTGGATTGAAGTGCCTGCAAGCAGATGCAGGGGCTGGGGTTTTCGATCCCCAGGCCTGCCGTGCCAGCCCTGCCCCTGGGGCATGCTGAGATGGCAACTGAGACTGGATATGGTGGCCTGAGCCTGTAATCCCAGCACTTGGGAGGCTGTAAACAGGTGGATCATTATGAGTCCAATTTAGTAGTGAGACCCTGAATACCTTGTAGACCCTTCTCTAAAATAATAAATAAATAAAATTATCCAAAGCAACACAGAGAGTATGCTTTCACTGGTTGCTATTAATGATGATATCTAAGAAAACAAGCATCACATAATAGCACATTGATTCTAAGCACAACCTGTATGAATATCTTTATGACCATGCACGTATTTTTCTTGCCTTTACTTCCTTCAAAATAGGATGTATGATGAATAAAGCTAGAAGGAAACATCTTCTAATGTACTCAAATGGTACACATTGTAGATTTTAAAGAGCTAAGCAATTTCCAGCCTTGAAAAGCCTTTGTTAGGTAGTTTAGACAGTTAAAGAGGATCTTAGAATGCACAAGTCTCTATTTATGCAGTATTTAAGATATTATGTAACACAGACTTGATGTCCTTCAACTCTGGGAAAAGAGTTAACATTTTGAAAATTTATAGTAACTACAAGTTCAGTGCCGAGTATGGTGAAGTCTAGCTGTGAAGTACACCATGAATGAATGATGCATTCACATTCTGTCAAGAACAGTGACATAAAGCATTGAAAAACAAACCCAGAAAATACCACCATATGCTAGTGTTATTTGAAAAACAGTTTCAGGGCTCTGTACACTGTTACCTCAGGAAATTTCATGTCAGACCTTCCTAGCATCCAGTCAGAATCATTTAGTTATTTGAATTGAGAGGAATCCCAGAAATGTTGACTGTTGTCACAATCCCCTTGGACAGAAAGGAAGAAACAGGAGTAAGGCAGCACCACCCTTTAAAGCCACACATGCAAAGGATACTCTTCACTATTCCGGATGTCAACCACCAGCAGCTTTGGTTTGCTGGACTTTGTTTTCTTGGTGGGCGTTTTGAAGTGGCCTGTAACTGTCAGCTCACAAAGGTCAATAAGGTCCTCTGCTGAAATACGAGGTGATACTTCTGACTTCAGGTCATTTAATGGAATGGACTCTCTTGACTAAAGGAAAAGGAAAAGAACAAAAATGCTGAGAATATTATAGAGACCAACCATAACTAATGCAAAATACATTCCAGTTCTTGATATTAACTAATACAACTCATGGGAAAGAGGAAACTCCATCTCATTTTACCACGCTCTTGTGTAATTATGCTCCTTAGTGCTGAGGTTTCCTTCCTTATTACAATATAGGAAGGCATTGTTGTTGTTGTTATTATTATTATTGTCTTACTGCAAGCTCCTGAATCAAGTGCACAGAAAGAGATGAGGCAGATTTTTCCCTAAGGAGGGGGTACTATATATCTTTAAAAAAAGATCCTTTAAGCACATATTACTTTCCCTCAAGTATGACTGTCGTGATTTCAGTAATTATAACTTTAGTTTTATGAAAAATTGCATTGTCACTGATACATATACTAATTAAAAAACTGTTCACATATTTAATAGGCTTTTATAAAATAATTTATTTTCCATATAAATGGTTGAATGAAAATTAGATTCTCAGAGAGTAAAATCAACCTAATATTTTCTTAGGTAGAAAACCAAATCAACAAGGCATCTTATTGGTGAAGGAGGTAAAAGCAGACTCCTGACTATCAAAGTAGCACACTGGTCTGTGTGAGTATTATATAGCATAAGACTGATTTGGACAAAGGAACATTAACATTTTTTGTGTTATTTATTTAACAGAAGAAGAATTTCCTTACATACATTGATAAGTAATACAATAAACCCAACTCAGTGTAAGTTTCTTCATTCTTTTTTTCTCTTTTTTTAATGAGCAGAATATATTTATTTATTTTTTTAATATTTATTTATTTATTTATTGTGTGTGTGGCCTGCTCAGCCCGCCAGGAGGCGGGGCTGGCTGGCACGTGGTGCTGGGGGATTGAACTGCTGTCCCTGTGCTTTGTTTAGCTTAGCTTGTTCTAAGTAGGTGCTTTAGACCACTGAGCCATCTCACCAGCCCGGGCCACTGGCTTTTATGATGGTTAGTTTTATTAGTCCCAGACTTGCTGACTCAGAAGAGTTTGTTGCAGGCCAAAAAGTGAATGAGCGATGAGGCAAAGTCCATCTGCAGCAGCCACACCCTGCCCCTGCCCTGTGTGTCTCTGTCCTGGCCTAAGCTTGGAGCTCCTGGGTTCCCATCCCCTTTGCCCCACTTTGGAGAGGCTTCTGTTCTGCCGTTGGTCGCTTGGCATGGCTGGCTGCTTGTTCAGGCCCTGTCTCTCCAGTAGCAGGACTGGAACTGTTTCCCTCTTCTGGCTGCCACTTTATCCCTAGCACCTGGCACCTGGCAAGAACTCTGGGCAGTGTTTATGGAATTTTGTCAAATATACAAAGATGAGGGTTCCTCGTCTTTATTTACATAGCAGCATATTTGAGACTGCAGATGGACATTAGCCATACTTCTAAACTCACTTCTCTTTTTAAGAGATGCATACAAGGGCCAGGGAGATGGCTCAGTGGAATAAGCGCTTCCCTGACAAGCACAAGGGCCTGAGTTCAATCCCCGCTTCTGGGTAAAAAAAAAAAGATGCATACTATTCCACAGAGGAGAGATGCCCCCTGCCTGTGGCCAGCACCCCAGGGATGGGCTTCATGTCCTGCCCGCATCCATTTGCTTTCCTCACCGTGCATTTCTGGATCTGTTTGTACTGAGAATGAACACTTTCTCCAGGCAGCATTCCTAGAAGTGGGACTGCTGGGTCACAGAGTTCCATATTATTAATGTTAATAGACTCTGCCAAATTCCTTTCCAAAAAGGAGATAGCAGTACATGGCTGCAGGCAAGGCCTGCGCCTGTTTCCTCCTGTTCCAACTTAGTCTTTCACTTGTTTTTCAGTCCGGGTGTGGGGATAAAAGAAGTAATCATCTTGGTCTTCATTTGTGTGGATCTGACGGTGAGGTCATCTTTATTTAGTTCAT